AAAAAAAAAAAAAAGACCATAAAACAAATCAATATTTTTAAAAAGGAATATTCTCCATGATATTTGGAATTTTGTCTATAATATATCCCCTCCCCCCGTAATGACGTTTTTAAACACTTTTCTCTTTCTTGTTAAATTTCTGTGAAACTTCTTCCTTGCTTTTACTGACATGCTGTAAAGAGTGGTTTAATGCTCTGCCTCCTCTCCCCTTCCTTCCTTAATATTTATGGAACGCTTACGATGCGTTCCAGGCCCCAGAGATACAACAGCCAACATCTCATTCGTGTCTCTAAGGAGTTAACAGTATCTCAACCTGCCAAATGGTAAAGCAGTTTCCTTCCATACACATTGACATCTCAATCTAGTATTTGAATCGTGGTCATTGGTAAAGAAACAAGGAAATGAGTCAATAGGAGATGTGACATGCTTTAGTGCACTGTATTTTTCTAGAGAATTCAAAGCTGATTAGTGGACTCCTTTTAACTTTTCTTTCTTTAATAGCAGAAGAGTTGATAAACGTTTTACCTGAATATACTCTGTGAGAGTGTTAAAGACTTGTTTTGCTACTTGGATGGCTTTGGAGAAATTGCGTTGACCTTGCTCATCAATTACGTCTTTCCCAGAGTAATACCAATAGAAGTCGCTAATTGATTCCTGGAAAACAGAGATATTATTAAGTTACATTCTGAAGTTACCACTGGCTATACAATTGTGTACTCTATACTAGAAAATTACTTTACTGAAATGCTGTAAAGAGTGGTTTATTTATTATTATTATCATTATTATTATTATTATTTAGACAGGTTTTTGTTCTGTTGTACCAGCAACAGTATAATTGGTGTCATCATAGCCCACTGCAGCCTCAAATACAAAGGTTCCCAAGTAGGTAGGACTACCGGTATGCACCACCATCCCTGGACAATTTTTTAAAAGAATGTTTCATAGTGATGGGATCTTGCTGTGTTGCCCAGTCTAGTCTTGAACTCCTAGCCTCAGGCAATCCTCCCACATTATCCTCCCAAAGTGTCAAGGGGGTCA